CACCTAGTTTATACTTCTTCCTGAGAAATATTTTTTGTTCATATAGATTGTGACTACTAAGCATTTATTCAATAAACAGAGATATATTTTTAGTTTTAAAGTTAAAAGTTATTTAATAAATGAGTTAATTAGTTATTTTTTTTATTAACTAATCTTCCAAAATGATTAAAAAATATGCATTGTGCAGGGGCTATTTTCTCGATGGATTGTGAATAGTGGATACCTATATTATCATAATATGTAGTTTCGGCTATATCTTAACTTGTGACTTGGAGTATATTTTCTTAATTATTAGACTTCATACKTTTTTTAGCCTTAACTCGATAGTTGTCTACTATGTTGTTAAACTATAACTAGAAATTAGATAATTAGAACGAGCATATTTTCATAGTAAAATTATGTATATTTTTGAAGCAACTAAATGTAATACTATTTCGATCTCACCACACCTTATTAAAGTTGTACAACGTTAATTTCTCATCCATTGCTGAAACTGACTTTTATATTTTTGACCAGAGGTTCCCAAACTTTTCATACTCGTGGCGCCCTTTTAGAACTGAAGTTTTCTCATATCGTTGTTTATTTTTAGACCAGATAACTGAGATAACATAGTCGGAAGCGAGGCACAGCCGCGGCTCCCCTGACAACACACCGCGGCTCACAGTTTGGGAACCTCTATTTTTGACCATTCCACGTATATCGTACTAGAGTTGTTGATATTTGGGGGTAGAAATTTAGTCCCTTATATTTTATTATATTTTTTAATAACTGTGAACTGACGATAACTGTATATAAATGATAAAGTTTTGGAAGTTTCCGGAGTGCGTCCGATTCTTATTTAATGTTTCGATAGTGTATCAAGAAAAAAAGATCATATTTTTTATATAGCCTGAATGCATCCTAGTCCATTTAAGCGTACCTAGAGTGCACTATGAGGTGATTATTAATATATTTATTTTATTATTTTTGCTTACACTTTGAATTTGGGGAATGTAGTTATTTTTTGTAATATA